CCCCACAAAGAGCTAATGACATTTTTAGTACCTAGTGATTTCGAGTCGTTCAGTGACTAAAGTTCAGGTCGCGATTGTTGGAAATATGGAAAGAATGTGATTGTAATGTCTGGTTTGATGTTTGAAATGTCTTGTTAGAACGGATGCAACAGTCCTACAGCGGTAGAAACCGAATTAAATTTCCTAGAGAGTTCAGAAGTAATTTGTATAAAATTGTCGAGAGCGCCATTGAATTTTATGTTTCACCGGAATTCAATGGAATTCCAAATTTTTGAGGAGCAAGAGGAGAATTTCTGAGTTTACTTGAATCGAAATGTGAATGCTCAGTGCCGAATAGGATTGGCATAATGTACATTTATATTGAGTTTGGAGTGCTTTTCTTAAGAATTTTTTTCGATTTTTTCTTTTATGAAATATGGAAAGCATGTGTTTCTAATGTCTGGTTTCATGTTTGAAATTTACATTTATGTTGAGTTCAAAATGCTTTTCTTTAGAAAATTAGAAATTTTTTCCATTTTTTTCTGTAATGCTATTACTTCAAGACGTGAATAAAAAAATTCTATCTAAAGAACACTGAACTTTCAATTAATTAAAAATTTAAGAATATATTCATCTAAATTTTTCTGATTTCTATCAATTTTCATGAGATAATTGACCTGAAATTTAAAGTCTTCATTGATTTTTTGATGAAATTGTAACCTTTCAATGACGAAATGCGTGGAAATTTCAGTGGAACTGCATTGTTCAACTACCGCATTTGTCGAGGGCCAAGGAAAAACCTCACATGAGGAAAAAACCTTGACCAGGTACAGTCGTCCCTTGCGAGACTCTCGCTCGGACGCATTGTTTAACTAATTATTTTTTCAATTTCTTTGTATTCACTTTAAAGTTGAACGGATCCCACTAAAATTCTTCAAAACACAGTAAAAAAATACTATCATGAAGAATAATCCTTATTTTCAAACAACAATAAACTAATATCAATTCCCAATTGGGAAGAATACATTGTCATGGAAATTCTCCTTAAACAATAAGTTTTTCATCGTGAACAACATAAAAACAGCTGTGTAGATGTCTCCCATTCTCTTTAAATTCTCAAGAATTTTTTTCAAGTTTTAAAATGAGACTCGATTCATTCAAATTGTGACATTTGGTTAGTAGATATGGCCGACTGGAGACAGACGGTCAGCCCCACTTCTTCCAAATTGATAATCCACGCGAGAAATTATGAAAGAAAAAGAAAAATAATTTCCTTGAAAGAATAATAATCATCTTCATTAAATGATAACGAGAAAATTCTCCTGAAGTCTCAGCAATTTTTATCGTTTTTTACAGTTTCATAATTTTTTGTGTTTTCGTTTCTCTTCCTCAGGTTTATTGATATTTTTTTTCGATGTGTCATTCTCAATATTAATTTTTAATTCTCTCGTTAGTTCAAACTCGACGATCTAGTAGTCTCAAGGCCACTCCACACAGCTGGAATTCAATGCTGAATTTTATTGACGAATAACGTTCCAGAAGTCCAACTTTTACTTTCGTTGATTCAACTAGTCACGTGAAATCGACCCAGCAAGTCGAGCAGTTTCTTATCTTCGTTTTGTTTTTAGATGAAAACATTTTTGTCTGGGATTACTCAATGTTGTGTTGGGGGAGTGAGGCAAAGTCTACTGGGTGAGTTTTTCTCGCTGTTGATGGTTTTTTTTTTAAATGGGAACGCTATCATTTTGGGGAATCGCAGGTGTCACGGCTACGACTAGTTGATTTACAAGTTGTGGTTGTTATAAGGAGGGTAACGTGGGGCAATTATTGATGGAACAACCGCGTTGGGAACTGGGAGTTGACCTAGTTGAAAATTCAAGTCGTGACATTATTTGTGTCACATTCATAGACATTAATCCATAATTTTTTAGTTCAGAATTGAAGTTCATGAGTTGATATCCTCAATAGAATTCTTTCTCACTTTTTTTATTTCTTTATTATCGTTTTTCTTGACTTGTAATCCACATTCCGTTATCAGAAATTATCTGAAAACAATATTTGTGGTAAATTTATATTATCCGAGTAGTTGTTATTGACTTTATGTTACAAGGAGGGTAATTATGATCGGAACAACTGAGTTCGTTCAATAGAATTTTTTCTTATTTTTTTATTTCTTCACTTTTCATTATAAAACAATATTTACGGTAAATTGACAACACAACAAGATAAATTCACAAATGACCGGAAGTATTTACAACTGCATGACCCAAATTCACTTATATTTCAACAAATCTCTGACTAGTTCGTAATTCCGCATGCATTTTTAATTTCTTTTTTATTTTCTTTATTTTCGTTCTTCAAGTGATATTATTATGATGAATTCGTCAGTTCTCTCTTTGTTGTTTTGTTTTCCTCAATTGTGGGCTTCCCCTCATGACACCTTATTTTCAGGCAGAATCTCAGGTGTCACGGTGGCGAAATTGGTTAACGCGCCCGGTCGGATTCCCTTACTTGATTATTTGATTAAGTTTATTTCATGTTACAAGGAGGGGTAACGGAGGTGATCTTTGTGCTCCTGCGGCCCCCAGGTACCTTTAAGGTCATAAGGGCCATACGGGTCACAAGGTACACCAAGGAACAATAGATTACGAGGGTCAAGAGGGTCAAACACCGGGAGTTCTTGGTTCAAATCCAAGCCGTGACAAATTTTTATTTTCCTGTTCACATTCAAAATCGAAGATCGCGGGTTCAAAACCCGGGAGAATTCTCAATTTTTTATTTTTTTGTGTGCTTGTTATCTAAATATCGTTATTAGGGGTCATGCAACAACAGTTTACTTGCTTCTGTGCTTACTGCTGTTTATAAATGAAATAGAGAGTTTTCTCTAGTTATGAATTTTTTGACTTTCACGAATTAGAAGACCTTTCCGATAAAAATCGTGAGTTCTTGGTTCAAATTCAAGTCGTGATAATTTTTATTACCTCAGTCATTCATCCATTGTTTTTCCATCCAGAATTGAAGATCGCGGGTTCAAAACCCGAGAGAATTTTCTATTTTTTTTTTAAATCGTCTGATCTTGTTATCACGATTTGATCAATAAGCATCCAACAATAATATTTGCCTTTGTGTTTGTTCTTGTTATCCCTAAGCAAATGTAGGCTGAATCACAAGTGTTACGGTGGCGAAATTGGCAAACGCGTCTGGTTGGATGAGTTGAGCCATTACCGTGTTTGAATTATTATATATCACAAGAAGGGGGCACGAGAATTGGTTAGCAAGTACATTCAACTTTCACAATAACCGGGAGTTCTTGGTTCAAATCCAAGTCGTGACATTTTTTGTTACCTCAGTCATTAATCCTTTATTTTTCCAGCCAGAATTGAAGGTCGCAGGTTCAAAACCCGACAGAATTTTTAGTTTTTTTTTAATCAGTTGATCTCCTTGTCATCAAGATTTGATCAATAATCATCCAACAATAATCTTTCCCTTTGCGTTTGTCCTTGTTATCTCTAACCAAAATAAGAGCTTCCAGTGTTATGATTCCGCTTTAGGCTGAATCACAAGTGTCACGGTGGCGAAATTGGCTAACGCGTCTGGTTGGATATGTTGAAAAA